TGACAGGCATCAATGCTCTCACCTGTAAACTGAGGCAATAATACACACTGGAAAGGCTGTAGGAATGTTATGTTGAAATAACAAACATAAATTGCCCAGAACTGGGCCCAGCACAGAGCAGGAGCTTAGGAAACAAATTCCCTTACTCCTACTTTCTCTCTCTTTTCAATTTCATCTAGGAGCCTCCGGATGTCCAGTAGACAGAAAGCACCATTCAGAGAAATCTCAGGCCAAAGACCAGAGCAGGAGCTGGCCAAGTTTGTAAGCGAGGGGATCCAGTGATGCTGCCTAAGGGTCAGGCTCCTAAGGGATCTGGTATAGTCTTTCCTCAATCCCAACCAGACACCTTCCTTGTGGCCTGAACCCTGACAAAGCTAGAGGACACAGGCCGCAGCACCCCAGAGCTGTGGAGGCTGCAGAAGTGGTCCTGAAACCATTTCTCAGCTCAGAGAAGTTCCAGGTCCTGTGGCTAGTGAGCAGCAGTATCTCCAGAGGCCCAGACTCAGCCACCACATCCCTGCCCCTTGTCTATCTTACCTTCATTCCCATCGCCCCAAACCTAGGCCCACTACACCCCCAAGAGGTACCCTAGTGGTCCTGGGAGGGTGACAGGCCTACCCATGCAGCAATTCACATGTCAAAGGTAGCGGCTGGCGAACTGCTACACAAAGGCTGTGTGGCCACCAGGTCTGGTCTCACCTCCTCCAACTCTGTCTCCAGCACTTGTTTCTCCTCTGCTCAACTGGGCTAGCGCCCCACCTTCTGCACCTGACACGGGTTCTTGGACATGACCAACCTCTGGATTCAGCTTTGTTCTCACTTCCCTGACCTCTGGCTGGCCTGGAGGATTGCAGGCTTTGCTCCCGACTCAGATCTGCCACCATCGGCGACCCTCATCTCTTGGGAGCTCCTTGCCAGCAGCTTCTTGCTGCCTCTGCTGTCACCAGTCCACCATCTCCTAGTTGCTCTGCTGGCCTGTATCTTGGAAAGCCACACCCTTTGACTTCCAGCTGGGCCACAACTGAAAGTTAAGCTATATATCTAAACAGTTCTGTTTTAAAACTTTATGTCCCCATTTGCCGATATTCTAGAGACCCTAGAGGAAAATAAAGAAAACTCTCATGCAGGTGGGATGATTACCACCTTTCTAATTCTTCATTTTATCTCCAGGGATCTGAAAGGAAAGATTTGAAATACTGCACTTTGAGGTACGATTTTAGGGTTGAAGAGAAGGTAGGTTAGCATTGAATATGTGCACCTAAGAGCAAAAATCTGACAGCTCGACTGTGGCCTCAGCCTATTGTAAGGAACAAAATGGTTAGTATAGGCGTACGTGTGCGGCTTGTGTGGGGGTGTGGCAAGGAGCACATCAATGTATTTCTATACTGTGTATAAAAACATGCAATGAAGAACTAGTGAAATTAATCTATGGTGATAGAAGTCAGGAAGTAGCTGTCTGGGGAATGGGGCATAAGGGAACTTTCTGGAATAATGAAAATGCTTGTACCTCTTGTTTTGGGTGGTGGTTAGAAGACTGCAAACTGTCAAAACTATCCAACTGCACACTGAAGACCTGTATACTGTACTGTATGTAAACTATATGGCAATAATTGCTTTTAATCCCCCGTATAGAACCATGTGTTTGTGTTCAAGGATACAAATGTGTGGGTGTGTGGCCCACCCGTACATCCGTGAACTTGGTGTGGGGTCTGGGCTGTGAGAAGCCACATGAGCTTGGGCACACAGAAAGGACACACTGCAGACCTTCAGCTGGGCCCCCAGAGCTGCCAATGAATCCTTTCTCACCGTTCCTGATTTTCCCAGCATTTCCCCAATGGCTACAACTGTTATCCAAACCTCCTCACCATGCAGCAACCTCTCTCATTTTCTAGGTCTTGCCTGGGAAGGCTAAGGCCACGGGATGCAAACTGCCCTACCTCACCAACTGCCCACTGGGTGCCCTTCAAGTTTCTTCCCAAAATCAAAGGGATAAGTGTCCTCTGACCTCATCTTTTCCCACCTAATCCTTTTCTCTCTTGACTTCTAGCATCTCAAAGCTCTTCACCTCTATTATAGCCTCTTTCTCCCTGATTTCAAATATTCACAAGTCTCAGCTTTCTTGAAGCAGTTCACGAAACCAGAAAGAAAACCCCTAGAATAGCTTGGCCTGTGCCCTCTGAAGCTTGTGCAGGCATAGAAGCTGGTCGTGGGCCCCTGCCTGGAAAAATCGGAGGCTGGTTAGCTGTTAGCAAAGAGCAGCAGCTGCATTTGAAACAGCCTACACCCCCAGAATTTGTTGGGGTGAAGGATACCTATGTGTCTCTTGTAGACCAGATGTGGGCCAGGCAGGAGAGAGGGCCAACTAGAAGCAATCTTAACGGGACTTTGCCCAAGAGGGCCACTTGGACAGACAATGGACCAATCTCAGGTACTGGAGGATTCCAGAAAACAGGGGTTGAGGGAGCAACTGGAAACAGCAAGGCTGAGGTGTAACCACCCAGGTCAAAGGAACTGCAGGTAAGAGAGACCCACAAAAGCACCACATGGAAGTGTCAGCCACAAACTCCCATCAAGCTGAGAGAATTCTTACTAATGCCAAATGGACCCTTCCTGCCCCTATCTTTATTCTCACAACCCCCTCCACCAACACTGATGGGCCTGAAGCCTCAGTCTTCAGGGATGAGGGGTAGTGAGGAAGTAAGATGGAGAAACGGAGAAGTCAACCACTCTCCACTCCCAAGGTGGGAGCCTGAAGCAAGCTCAAGAGGGGAAGGGGAGAAGCTTTAACACTGACTTAAAGTTCAGAGTTTTGACTATTAACGTGAACAGGACATTTAGGCTATTGCAACAAGTCTGTCCTGGTGGCTTGATGTAATCCAAGGGCAAGCAAAGATTTAGAGGAAGAATGGGGATGAAGACATACAGCCATTTTCTGACTGCACTAGGCTTCCTGAATGAGGCTGTGCATGTTCCCTGTTAACAGTTACACTTGCAAAGCAGGGCATGGTGCCTGGTACAAAGTCAATGCTTGATACGGTAGCTGCTAAGAGTGTTATGAGCCATTTTGCGATTTAAAGGGAAGCAACTAGGAGCTGGATGTGAGGACGTTTTTCTAACAGTCAAGCGGCTGGGATGGCCCGAGTAGAGGACTTGGGAGGTAGTGACTCCCCGCCGTGGAGATGCCGACAGGGGCTGACTGACTTGCCAGGGGGGTGGGGAGGAGTTCCAGCCCCAGATGTGGGAGTGAGCACACGAGAATGTGACTCTAGTCTCTCTCCCCTGGCCTCAGCTCTCCCCTCTATAGGAATGACTTCAGCCCTGGCCTCTCTCAGGGGTTTCAATCCCATATTTCCCCTTGGAGTAATTCCCCAAGTGTCCACTGATATTTCTATATGGACAACTCACCATCACTTCCAATGTAGCCCATCTAAAACAGAACTCTTTACTTTTTCTCCAGCCAGCTCTCCTTCCACACACACCCTGAATTCCATTTCTGTACATATACAGTTCTCTCAGGCTGGTTTCCCACATCACTTCCATTTGTTTCTTAAACCCAGATGGGCACAAACGCTTATCAATTCTTCCCCCTCCCTCATTTGGCCCCACTTCACCATTTCTAAAACCATCACAGTAACTCAGATATTTATCATCTCATTAGATAGCCTCCTGAACAATCTCCCTGCCCTGCACATTTTTCCCTTGGAACTTTTAACACGCCAAAGTCAGTCTAATCTTCCTCAAACACAGTTCTGGTGGCATCACAAAAGCCTTTGATAAACACCTGCTTCCCGAGGAATAAAATACAAACTTCTCAGCTAACATTCGGTTAAGTCCTGCACAATCTGGGTTTTCCAGCCTTGTATCTAAAACCACTCAACTCTCCCAAAATTCAGAAACCCACTCTCAGCCTGGTCAGATGCTGGACAATAAAGAGATGAAAGAACCTGACTGTAAGATGCTTTCAGTTCTAGTGGTAAGATAGAGGGGTAAACAATTAGAGAGAACACAGTCAGTGATAAGATAAAGAACACTGTTTGTCCTCATGTCCCCTCTCCAACAGAAATTATCTGTTCACTGTCCCTTCCTCCAGGTTTTTCTTTGGGCTCTTTTCCCTTTCTTTCTCATCTGGACACTTCCCATTGTTAAACGCCCAGCTCCTAGTGCCCCCGCTTTGAGAGGTCCAAAGCCCAGGCAAGGATCTCTCCCTCCTGTGGAGGTGAATGGTTCCACTGAGAAACTCCTGCTCTTCCTTTACATCTCAGCTTAGATGTTTCATCCTCCAAAGTCCTCTCTCACATGGCCCCCACCTCCACCCCAAATCTGGGGTAGATGGACCTCCTTTGTGTTCCCACAGCCCCTCGTAATTCTCCTGGTGTTAGCCATACCATGCTGCTTGCAGTTTACCTGTCTCCCCACTAGCCTCTGAGCTCCCGGAAGGCAGAAAATGTCTGGATCTTGTTCATAGTTGAACACCCAGCTCCAAGATTGGACTGGCACATCTTAGTAGCTCAATAAACAAGTGGAAAGGAGGGAGGAAAGAGTAAGTCAGGCACCATGCACTCCCTCCTACGGATAGGTTCTTCAGCACCTGTGCTAACTGTTCTTTTCACCGCTGGTTCCCTGACCACTGTTCCCAGGGAAGCGGTCACTGGTCCCCCCCACTGGGTTTGTACACTCCTCTAAGGTTAACAACCTGCAACACACCTACCTGTCCCACTTGACCCTGAACTTTTTGTGGGCAAGGAATTCTCTGTATGCCCAGAAAACAGCAGTGGGGCAAATGAAGCTTATAAGGATACTGATCAACTTAAATACGCTTCTTGTGAAGAGAAACCGTATCTTTACTTTCTTTCTGGGAGACTCTGAAAGAATCCACTTAACTGAGCTCAGCCATGGTTTCTTGGTCCCTAAAGCAGAAACAGTGTGGCCGGGTTCACAGCACGGCTGGGCAGACCGGAGGGGCAGGGACTGGGTGACTTCGCAGGTTATCACCTGTATACCTGTTTCCTCATCTGTAACGCGAGACTGCTTTCCTGTAAACTCGTAGAACAGTGTCTCGCGCCACGTCAGTGCTCAGGGTCGGCCATTCTTGGTAGGGGTGTCTCTAAAGCTTTGTAAACTCTACTAGAAGATCCTGGGCACCAGGAGGGACGACGACACTGGCGGGTGGACGGGGTGTGTGCGACCGGGGGGGAGGGGTGCACGGGAGGGACTGATTAGAGGAGCCTTCATCCTCCATCCCAACCGCGGGACTCTCAACCTCCCCTCCCCGCTTTCCTTTCCAGAGCTTTCCAAAGCTCGGAGTCCCTCCCGCCTCCAGGGACAGGAGGGGTGGGTTGGACTGAGCTCGGGGGGCTCGGGCCGCACCCATTCTGTCGGGCCTGCGGCGCGACCTCAACCAGTCTCCCTATCAGAGCCTCTGTCTGGGGCCCCCACCTGCAAAATCGCTCCTCTAGGGCTCTTCCAGCCTAAAGCCTGTCTTCTTCCACCTCTCGGGTGCTGACTCTCCCTCCCACTCCGACCGCGTCTCCCCGACAGGCCGCACGGCGCCCGACCGCACAACGACCCACCCCAGGACTGCGCACGGAGAGCGTCCCTCCGCCGGCCTCCGCGACAGTCCGGATGTGGCCGAAATACCGCGAGATCTAGAAGGTGGGGTGCCGGAAGCCAGGCCACTCTCGCGAGGCCAGGTGGAGCAGAGCCGGGAGGCCCGGTGCAGCGTGGAGGTCGTTGGAGTCACTGTCCTACCGCTAGCTCCTTCGCCGACCAGTCCGCGCCGCGCCCGTCTCAGCCATGCTCTCCGCCCTCGCCCGGCCTGCCAGCGCCGCTCTCCGCCGCAGCTTCAGCACCTCGGCCCAGGTAGGTCCTGCGAGGGGCTGCCTGCAGGTGGAGGCTCCCCGACCTAGGCCACGTGTGCTCCTGGCTCGCGAGCAGCCTTGACCCCCGGGCCAGCCTGGACCGCAGGGCCACCTGGTGCTGGTCCTGGGCTGTGGCGTCCTGGGCCGGCCCTGATACCGGGCAGGAGGTGCGGGGGAGAAAGCCCAGGAGTCGGGGGTGGGGAAGTAGTCCAGCTGGATCCAGGACCGGGGCGCTTCTCCGAGTCTCCCAGTTCGCCCCCGAGCCCCCCAGAGGGTCTACTCGTGACCTGTGCTCCTTCAAGGTGGAGAAGCCAGGGCTCTAGGGCCGAAAGTAACTTATTTTCCATAGTATTTTGAGAGACTAACCTCGTTCTTGCAGCGTCCGTACAAGCACTGTGTAATTTGTTTGTTTGTTTGCGGTACGCGGGCCTCTCACTGTTGTGGCCTCTCCCGTTGCGGAGCACAGGCTCCGGACGCGCAGGCTCAGCAGCCATGGCTCACGGGCCCAGCCGCTCCGCGGCATGTGGGGTCTTCCCGGACCGGGGCACGAACCCGCATCCCCTGCATCGGCAGGCGGACTATCAACCACTGCGCCACCAGGGAAGCCCCTACACTGTAATTTTTAACTCCATAGTGCAGGCAGGCAGAGATACCGAGGGCAGAGCATTGGTCCAAGGTTACACAGTGTTTTGGCCAGAGGATTAAAATTCAGCTCTCCTGACCACTGTCAGTGACTTTTTTGGATCATCAAGCCTTTCCTCTAAGAACCTGAAGACTCTGCTTCCTCTTGAGGACCTTTTGAAGGCTCCTTCCTGCGGTGGGCGGACTGGGCCTGCCCCCGGGTGTTGTTAACTGCGCGGCTTGGCCTGAGACTACTTAAGCCCAAGCTATTTTTAGCCGTCTTCTTCTAGGGCAGCGATTCTCAAACTCTGTTGTGTCAGAATCACCTGAAAGCTGGTAAAGATCAGAGGCCGAGGCTCATCGAAGGAGGGTAGGACCTGGGCCTCCGTGTTTTTTACCAAGTTCCCCAAGTGATTCTAATACAACCAAAGTTAGAATCCAGGAGTTGCCCACATTGCCTCTTGAAGTACCACACCTCAAAAGGGAGGTGATTATTAAATGAGGTTCCACATTTCTTACTTAGCTTTTGTTCTTCAAATCAGTTTCCTGTGCATTCAGTTCATTCGAAAAATAAATATACGAATGAGTACATTTGAGTATCCGTGTTGCCCAGAACTGTGCTGGGTGCTGCAGGTGATACCAGGATGAGTGAGAAGTGGCACTTAAGCCAACAGTGAGTAAACAAAGGTAGGACAGGTGGAGGTGATGAAGATTGATGCTGAGGAGTGGGGGAAGGGAGATTAACTGCAGGTAAGACAGTGGGATTTGCTGATAACGATTTCATGAGATGTATGGAGAGAAAGAGGAACATGGAGAAAACCAAGGCTTTGGGTTTTGGAGTTGAGATTTGCTGAGGTGGGAAATACTGCTAAAAGAGAGTGATTGTAGGGGGGTGGGTATCAGGAGCTCAGATTTGGATGTGTTGAGTTTAAAATGCCTATTGGACATAAAGGTGGAGTTGTTGAAGTATATAAGTGTATAAGTCAGAAAGATGAGCTTGAGCCAGATGGTACATTGGCCTAGGGAGACTTCAGCCTCAGTGTATTTATGTCTTTCCGTATGTACTAATGTACTAATATGTATAACACAAAACACAGAAATTTAAAAACCATAACAGATTATAAAAAGCAAACTTATAAGTGAAGGAAGTGTTACTCTACATCCATTTTCAGAGCCCCGTTGCTAAACAGTGTGCTGTTGACAGCCACTCCTCAACGTGGAAAAAGATATGGAGTTTGGAAACAGCTTGTTTACAAAGAGATCATGAGCTAACCTGCAGTACCAAAGAGTCGCATCTCACTGTAAAGATATCACCACTTACAAGTTATGTTTTTATAAATATTAACTAAGTTGATGAAACCTTATAATATACAAACAATAACATCACCTCGTCACACTGAGAGCAATCCCCTCTTCCCTCTCCCTGTGTTGGGTTCATCTTCTGTGTCACGTGGGACTGATTCACTTAAGGACCCTAACTGAGAGCACCAGGTCAGTCTGTTTCTTGGTAGAGTTTAATTCTTCACCTGATTGATGAAAATAAAGACACAGCCTTGACATTGACATCCTGCACACCAAGGGAACTGTCTTATGCTCCCCACATTGGAGCCCTGGTCAGCCTTGGGAGCCAGGCTGAGTAATCTGGGCGTGAGGAACTTGAGAAGATTTTTTACCCAAGGGAATGATTAAAACTTTGAATTTTTGGAAGGGTGGTTTAGAGGTGGAGCTGAGGACCTAAGTTAGATAATGGAATCAGGATGGAAATCGGGGGCAGATCGGGAAGATGCTTGAGATGCCAAGTCCTTTCGTGTCCTAACTGGGTGTCTCCAGTAAGGGAAGAAGCAGAAGATAGCTCTAGAGTTTTGAATTTGGGTGAACACAGATGCCATTTGGGAACAGGGATGGGAGAGGTAGTAAGGACAAATTTATTTACACAGTTGGGTTTGTGGGACCAGTGGGTATGCCTAACAGAACTGGGAATGTGGAGTTGGAATTTGGGAGTCCTTAGGATTCGGGACAGGATGTGGGAGTGATAATTGAAGGTCTGGAGATGGGTGAGATTGCCAGACCTCAGGTTCTGGGTTGGTCCAGCTAGTTTTCTATGAAGTCAAGGGTCCACCTTTAAAGCACCAACTTAAAAACAAACAAATGAAACCTGAATTCCAATCTTAGATGTAATATATGCTTTTTAGAGTTTTAGTTTCCTCAAGCAGATTACACTGTGTGGTGGTTTGGGGTTCGGCTTGAGTTTTGGTTTGTTTGGTTTGATTTTTGTTTTTGATAACGGAAGCCCGTTATTTCTAGCATCCGTTGCTGTGGAACACAGTGTGCAGTGATAATGTAAAGACCCAGAGTACACGGCTGCCCTAGAGGACCACACGCCATGCTTTGTGTTCTTGTGGCTGCTCTTCTCTCGGTTTGTCTTCTTCCCTGGCAGCTCCCTGCCTGCTTGCCCGGGATAGGCTCCCCTTCTCATTTGTGAGTTTAGGTTAGAAACAGCCTCACTCGCAGTGGTTAAGAATCCGCCTGCCAATGCAGGGGACACGGGTTCGAGCCCTGGTTTCAGGAAGGTCTCACATGCCGCGGAGCGACTAAGCCTGTGCACCACAGCTACTGAGCCTGCATTCTAGAGCCCGTGAGCCACAACTACTGAGCCCACGAGCCACAACTACTGAAGCTTGCGTGCCTAGAGCCCGTGCTCCGCAACGAGAAGCCACCGCAATGAGAAGCCCGCACACCGCAACAAAGAGTAGCCCCCGCTCACCGCAACTAGAGAAAGCCGTGTGCGCAGCAACAAAGACCCAATTCAGCCCAAAATAAATACATTTATTTAAAAAATAATAAAACTGCACATTGAAGGAAAGCCTTCTGTTACCAGTCCAGGTGGCGATTGAGTGAAGTTTGCTTCCCTTTCGGAGGGTACAGGAGTATGCCCCTGACTGTCACAGCATCTAGAGACATGAGTTCTCCCCCATTTTCCTGAGGCAAACCTCTGAACTTCAGAAGGAAAGGGGGCCTTTGGAATGGTAGGAATACGATTGCATCTTCATTTGGTACTGCTGCAATAAAAAAGACCCAGTGCAGTACTCTGCGGTTTATTACCATGTGAATCCTTTTAATGCTGATTCCATCTTCACAGTCCTCTCTCTGTGCCTCTTTCTAGAACAATGCTAAAGTAGCCGTGCTGGGGGCTTCCGGAGGAATCGGGCAGCCGCTTTCACTTCTCCTGAAGAACAGCCCCTTGGTGAGCCGCCTGACCCTCTACGATATTGCTCATACACCCGGAGTGGCCGCCGATCTGAGCCACATAGAGACCAGAGCGACAGTAAAAGGTATTGAGCATGCCGACCCTGGAGAACTTACATCTCTCCTCCCCCGTCGGCCAGGATTCAGGTTTAGAGTGAGATTCTTAAGTGAAACTAGGTGTTCAGAGACTTGGGGTTTCCATGTTCATTTTAGAATTAAATTTTATAAATTATTGCACCTTTCTTGACTTGAGTCTACAAAAATTTAAATAGTGTCTTTGAGAATAACAACGGTGGTCTCACCTTCCCATTTTTAATTTTTTATAATTTAACAAGTAATATGAGGATGGGGAAGAGGCAGCCTTGTGCAGGGGCGTGGGTACAGTGAGAAATGCTGCCACCTGCTCCCCACCTTGGGCCGTCCCTCCACCCCAGGGTTTCCTCTGCCAGCTTCTTCAGAGCATGGCCACCTTAGGAAAATCCAAGGGATATCTAGCTATGTCATCCAAGAAGTCACTCATAATTACATATAATTATATATATCCTGCTTATCTTACCTTCACATTATAGCAGCATTTTTCCATGTCACTAAATTCTTGGTAAAATCATTTTTAAAGGTGTACTATAATTTATCACTTATTTATTATTATACCCACAGTGTTGTCCATTGGGCTGTTTCCTGTTTTGCTCTACTGTAAATAGCTAGGCTGTGTAAACATCTTTATCTTTACATCTTGTTTCTTAGAATCCTTAAAAAAAAATAGAATCCTAAAAGTAGAATGAGTAGGTATGACTATTTTAAAGCTTTTACTATAAAGTGTCAGATTGCTGTGCAGAAAACTTGTACTGCTTTCCGTCTCAGCTGTCAGTGTGAGACTGTTGGATGGTGTTTGCATGTATCTTCATCTCGTGTAGACAGCACAGGAGATTGAGTGACTGTCAGATCATTTGTTCGTGTGCCTTCCGTGGTCCCTCTGAATTAGTTCGCTCATTTTCTTTTGGGCTGTACATTTGCGTTTCCAAAAGCTCCCACAATAAGGGAGAAGTCAAATCAAAGCAGATTTTGGCCGATTTCCCCGAGATCTTTGAACGTGGACCTTTTATTCCTCGGATGATAGGAGTAAACAGAATGGATGCTAATATTTCGTCCCTGCTTCTCAGCACGGGGCTTTTCTCTCCTGGCCTCCACCGTGCCTTCTGATCTGACTCCGAGACAGAGCTTTTGTTAGGATGACCGTGACGTGGCATAAGCAGCTCTTACTGGGAGCCGAGAAGGACTTAGAAGTGCTGGCGAGTTGGGTTGGATAAGGAAAAGCAGCCGACTTGGCTGATTCTGTGGGAACCTGGATGGTTACTGTGTTCCGAATCGGGACTGGGCCAGTGAGGCTGGAGGAAAGTGGAGTGAAAGAGACTGTCCTGCCAGCCGGTGTCATCAGGCCTACAGTGGTAGTTCTTCAGAAGAGGAACCCCTTCGTGGGCGGTCCTTCCAGCCTGTCTTGAGGCCTGTGGCCGGCCTTGGACTCAGGTGGGCCCATCCTACCCGGGCTCTGTCCCCACAGACATGCTGGCCTCTCCAAGTCGGAAATGGTGAAATTGCTTACGTGGGTGTTTTTTCCAGGTTACCTCGGACCTGAGCAGCTGCCAGACTGCCTGAAGGGCTGCGACGTGGTGGTGATTCCAGCGGGAGTCCCAAGAAAACCAGGTGTGTGTTGAACTCCTTGCCTAGCATCTCCCCACAGGCCAGCTGAGGATGTGGTTTTCCATGAAAAATGGATCTGGTCAGATCTCTGCTGCAGAAAAAATTCCAAAGGCTCCCCAATGCCTGTGGGGTACAGATGAAGCCCTCCACCTGTCCCTGGGTCCCCTCGCCCAGTCTCATTGTGTTCTGCGTGCACTTTTTTTTTTGCACGCAAGGCCCTTTCCTCCACCTGCCTCCACCTTGGAAGCTGTACTGGTCCTTGGTGATCCTCCTCGGGTATAACCCCCCTCATTCCCCTCCCCACGCTCCACCCTCACAGACCTCTATCTTGGCACTTATCACACTGGGCTGTTTTCCCTACAAGATGGATTTACTTGAAACAGGGACCCTGTCTCACTCATGTTTGAATTTCCCATAACAACAAACACACACAACGTGGTACATGTTTGGAAATTCGTCCTGTGCTTTATGACCACCTCGAATTGGATTGTTCTCAGGCATGACCCGGGATGACCTGTTCAACACCAACGCCACGATTGTGGCCACCCTGACTGCTGCCTGTGCCCAGCACTGCCCCGAGGCCATGATCTGCATCATTGCAAACCCGGTGAGTGCCGGCCACTGATGCCGCATGAAAGTCCACAATTAGCAAGAGTGTGCTTCTGTGCTTAGCGGGGGAATAATCAGGTTCGTGTGCTGAAATGGATAAAGTGGATGAGCTAATAAAAGGCCCTTAAATTTATTTCCTAAGGATTCCTTCTGGCATAGACCAAGTGGATTTTAACCTGGTTTTCCCATCGACCGTGTGCCTTTGGGCAGATCGCTTCCCCTCTCGGTATCTTAGTTTTTCCACCTGGAAAATAAGCCCATTCCTGAGGCTGTTTCAGCCGTGACTGTGGTAGCCTGTTAACTCCTTTTCCTGTGTTCTACTTGGGGTTTGCAGTTCCTGCTTCCTGGCGCCTCCTCCCTCCTCACACTCACACATGGTCCCGTACGCAGCCCCCCAGGCCCTGCTTGCTGCTTTTTGCAGGAAGCTAGTTCTTCAGTTCAGAAACTCCGGGTGCTGTGTCCCTCCTGAGAAGTCGGCTGTGGCTCCCATGCCCGCCCTAGCAGGGCCTCAGGTTGCATTTGACAGCAGCCCTTCTGTTCCTGCCTGCTGGTTGGTCTGGTCTCGCGAGTACAAGAAGGATCTGGGTGAAAGTGCAGTGACACTGATGTGGACTCAGGAACGTGGCCGCTGATAAACACGCAGAGCTTGTGCCCGTGGCCTCTGAGAAGAGGATCCTGCCCTTTCCAACCAGCTCACCTTTCCTCGGGGACAACTGGTCAGAAGATCTTGGGGGGGCAGATTAACCGGTGCCTAATATAAATCTCGCTGGTTTTGTCTTGTTTTTATTCTTTCTATGTACCAGGTAATGTGTTAAACCCTTGCCATGTATTAAATCACTTAAATCTTCACAACCACCTCATGAGGTAGTTGTCTCCCGTTTTAAGAAACTGAGTTCTAAGGAGTTGAGGTAACTTGGCCAGGGTTACGACACAGAGTGACAGAGCTGGGACTGAGCTTGTAGCTTGTAGCTTCTTGCTAGGCTGTCTTTTCTTTTCTTTTAATGGCCATTTGGGCTAAGTCCCAGCTGGAGCAGAAGGTGCCTTGTGGAGCCTTCATCACATTTTTAAGTTGATAGTTGAAGGGTCATGTGCATGTTTGAACTTTGGGCTCGGAGGCCGCCAAGGAGAAGAGTGCCTTCCCCAGTGAATGGTTTCTTCTTTCTCGTGGCGGGGAGAAGCAGCAGTCTTTTAGAGTAGGGGGCCTTCCATCGTGAGGGTCGCTTATCAGGGCAATTTACCGTGACAGCTTAGAGCTTGTTCGTGGTCTGACGAGAAGATTTTTCCTTCTGTCGCGAGGCTCTGCTCTCAGAACACAGGCAAATTCTGCCCCTCTCTCTTGGATTTACTAGGTTAACTCCACCATCCCAATCACAGCAGAAGTTTTCAAGAAACACGGAGTATACAACCCCAATAAAATATTTGGGGTGACAACCCTGGACATTGTCCGAGCCAACGCTTTTGTTGCAGAACTGAAGGTAAGAGCTGCATCAGGCATCTTTCAGCTTCCCTTTCGGAACCTCTCTGGCTATGCTTGGCTCATTTACGGGCCTGGAGGACACCGGGGCCCTTACAGGCCACATGTAACTGGAGGGTTTACATGTCTTTATAGCTCGCCTCCTTGGTGGGAAGCAGCTTGCGCGGGGAACGCAGACGGCAGGCCCCTGCGGGCTGGAACCGGCCAAGCTTGCTCTTCTCCCTGCTGTAGCAAGGGTTCGGCTTTCCCTGGGTTTCTCACTGGCTAGACTGGGTTGTGCTCTTTGTGTTCATCTGCTCGGCTCTGAAAACTGGTCCTAACAGGTTTTACCTGCTAACCATTAGACAAATGATAAAGTCAGCAAACACGAAGAACTTGGGAAAGTCCCTGAAATCATGTCAGAACTCTTGTCCCTGGTCTGTGTTCTGACTCCCTTCCTGCGTGCCTGCAGTGACTTACCTCAGTTCTGCTCCCGCTGGCTGCCTGCTTCTTCCTGAGCCGCCAGGCTTGTCCCGAGGGGGGTTTGGCACCGGCGCCAGGTCCTGAGTCCTCGGTACCTTTCACAGCTCGCTGTCTAGTCTGTTGGGTTATGGACCCAGCAGAACCACTTCCTCTGGCCCAAATAAGTGTCCCTCCTGAGCTTCAGGCCATTTTTCGTGAACTTGTGGAAGAGGGGGTCCTCCCAAGTCGGAAATAATTGTCGTGCACACAGCTTAGTGAGAAGGGCGCACGCGGGACCGTTGACCTTCCTCTTCCTCCCCTGCGCCCAGCACTTCTCTTCTAGGGTGTGGACGGTACGGTGCCCCGCTGTGATTCATGCTCTGGCGTGTTCCTCAGGCTCTGCTCTCCGAGTGGGGTCGGATCCCTGAGATGTGGCCACGGGGCCTGGGAGCTCTGTGAGTGAAGCAGAAAGAGACACTTTAATTCCAGAGACAACTGAATCACCGTTTCAGTGCACGTGTGTTTAGACTGTGGTTGGCTTTGAGTCAGAAAAGGCTTTGCGGAGCGGGTCTCAGTGAAGCCGAGTCTGAACGCACCCAGGCCGGGAGGTGGGGGTTCCAGCTTCCCGAGGCACACGCCCCCGGTTCCTGGAAGCAGCAGTGCTCGTTCTCTTAGGGCTCCCGTGGTGCTGCCAACTCCAGGGGGAAGCACGCGTTTCCCCTGGGCCCCTAATCCTGCTGCAACAGTAGATACCTGTGGCTGTTTGAATTAATTATAATTAAATTAGAAACTGTGGTCCTCTGTTGCACCAGCCACACTTGAGATGCTCCAGAGCCCCACGTGGCTGCTGTGTTCCCACAGAGAGTTCTGTTAGACCGTGGAGGCTTGGCCTCAAAGCTTTGCCATGTGAGGTGGGGAAGCATGTCTCCGCCCTGGATCCATCAGTTAAGGAGTGCGCCCTTTACCTCAGGCTGCCTGGCATTCTGAAAAGTTCCTGGATTGCATGGAGGGTGAAAGGCTGCCCTTAACCTCGCAGCCTCTGGCTCCCCCCTCGGCCGTCCCTACCCCTGCCTTCCACTGGGCTTGCCCTTTGCACTTCATGCTCTGCTGATGGTACCTGCCCTGTGAACCCCCAGGTCTTTGTTCTTTCTGCTTCTTTTGCCTAGAATACGCTTCCCTTGGTGGAGTCCTGCTCCTTCCCAGATGAAGTTAGGTCTGCCCCAGGAGGCCTTCTCTCAGGTGCCTTCCAGAGCCACCCTGTGGCTGGCTTCACCCTTCGCATTGGAACGTCTGTTTGTATCTGTCTCATTTTGGACAATGAGCTTCTCAAAAGCAGGGGCCCTTTCTGTTCGTGCCTGTGTCCCTGGTGACCGGCGTGGTGCCCTGGCCTGTAGACACTGCCGTGCATGTCCGTTAACGGTGCTGCTGGGTCTGCCCACCCTTGTGGCTGGGCTCCCCAACCTAGGCAAGGCTGGTTCCTAACTTACGGTGTCTCTCTTTAGCAGCTGCAGCATTTGGGGAAGGTGGCAGCATTTGGGGACTGCTCACCCCCTCCCGTTACTCCCACCAGCTTCTTTTTTTGACTGTGTTAAGAAATACCTGGTTCGCAGATTCTTGGGGGCATCGTGCCTCCGGTTTAACAAATGAATCAGCCGTCCCAGCAAGCCCCACTTAATGAACCTTGGCATTGTGACCCCTTTCAACTTGGTTTCCTTCTTTCTGTTCCAATCACTGTTTGAGTTGACAGACTTCTCACCCCTGGGTGTTCTGGAGTCTTGCTCTGATACGAGGTTTTTGTTCTCTGTAACAAAGTGTAGGCACATAAGTCTGAGCTAAGGCATGGGGATGACATCAGGTGTGGGAAAGAGGATTTGTCATCCTCTGATTCCAAGAAGCTGTCGGACTGATGGGAACCAATTGGGACCCTTCACGAAGGCACTTTTCAGCGCATTGTGAAGGGAAAGCCTCGGAGTGACCTCACCAGACACCAAGTTACTCACTGCGTGTGTTGAAACTGCAGGGGGCGCCTAGTGGGACATGTGAGCACGGCTGGAGTCAGGCGGCCTCTTACCTGGTTTCCAAGTTCTGTGGATTTTTCCGGTATTGGTGCTTTAGGTGCATATGACGTGTTTTACACTCAAAGTGCTTGTTAAAAGTTAATCAGGCTTTCCACCTTTGGTGACCAGGGTTTGGACCCGGCTCGCGTCAGCGTTCCTGTCATTGGCGGCCATGCTGGGAAGACCATCATCCCCCTGGTCTCTCAGGTGCGTGTGTCACCCTGCCTGGAAGCCTCAAGACCACGAGCACGGTTCAGAGGTTCACTTTGGGGCGCTCGGATCAGGCTGACACGGATCTCACCGTCTGTTGTTACTTTGAAGCGTCCCCAGCTGCGGGAGTGGGTGTGGTCAGAAGGTGTTCAAAAGGGCCAGCTCCTGCACAGTGAAAACTGCTGGTGGAAACATCACTGCCTTCCCGATTAGGTCAGAGCAGGCAAAGCTGCTTTGTTTAAAAATGAGGAGAGACAAGGTAAACACCACTGAGAATAAGATAAATCACCTCATAACCTCAGGAGAAAATACTGAGGAAGCACCTTTTAAACCTAAGTTGATGGACATCCTACAAAGCGAGCATTCAGTACCCTTGACAGATGTCCTGAAAGCCAGGGGAGGACTGAGGAAGCAGTCAAAGGTGAGATCCCTGGGTGCTGGTGGGTCCTGGGCAGAACCCTGAACAGAAGGGACGGTAGTGGAACAGTCGGTGACACTTGAGTAAGGTCTGTGGTTTAGTTAATTTCCTGTTCTTTATAACTGCACTGTGGTTATGTAAAGTGTTATCAGGGTAAGCCGGGTGAGGAAAAATCTGCTATTTTTACAACGTTTCTCTAAGTCTAAAATTAGTCCAAAATAGAGAAAGTTTTTTTTTTTTTTTTTAATGAGTAGAGAACTCACTACACCTCCCAACAAAGTCGGCTTTTTCTTTAAGGAAAAGGTCTTGATTTCCCACGTGGCAGCGATGCCGGGGCCCGCCAGGCGTGGGGCTGGGAGGTGACCGGAGCCTGGTCCTGCTCACGTGAGCCCTGTGACTTCCACTTGCAGTGCACCCCCAAGGTGGACTTCCCCCAGGACCAGCTGACCACCCTCATCGGGCGGATCCAGGAGGCCGGCACGGAGGTGGTCAAGGCTAAGGCCGGAGCAGGTAGGCACTCAGGCGGCCCCAGGCTTTTAGAGGCAGAGCCGAAGACTCATGAGGGCCCAGCAAGGAGTGGGTCCTTTTCTAAGTCTCACGTCCATCTGCTCGATAAGCAGCCCCCCCCCGTCAGAGGGCAGCGCAGCTCGCTGGGGGGCGTGGAGTAGTGTTTGAGGTCAGCAGAGCTAATTGCGTGCCGTCTGCGGGTCTGTCACTTCAAGGGATGCTGACCTAAATTCCTGATGAGACTGGAAAGCTGGAGGTTATGCAGATGGGGTTTTAGCTGGCGGGGAAGCTCGTCTGGGTCTTACGGTCGCAGCGCTAGCTTGGCTGACCTGCCTTTGTCCTCCTAGGCTCTGCCACCCTATCCATGGCGTATGCTGGAGCCCGGTTTGTCTTCTCCCTCGTGGATGCGATGAACGGAAAGGAAGGAGTTGTCGAATGTTCCTTCGTTAAGTCCCAAGAAACGGACTGTCCGTACTTCTCCACACCATTGCTGCTGGGGGTATGTATCCCAGAGGCCAGGTCTTGGCCGGAAGGAGGAGCATTTTCTGTAGCTGAGACTCAGCAGCTGTACTCCGTTCGTTTGCTTCATGGTTCAGATTTCCTTGTGCAGTAACTGCATCTCACTGCCTGGCCTGTGCTTGGACTTTTGAGGGTAGAAGCATCACAGAAGCAGTGGCGGGGAGAAACCTCAGTCTGTGGGGGCTGACGGGAATCTCACGGCCCCAGCAGCCGGTCAGCAGCGGCCGCCTGGGTATGTTTCCCAGTGAGACCCTCGCTGTGTCCCGAGGCGGCCCACGGACAGCCCTCACAGAAGAGGCTTCCCCGCACCAGGCTGTGCTGGTTCCTTCTCATTCTGACCTCAGGGCCTGCCGGGGCGTGCACACATGTTAGACCTTCCAGCTCAGGTGTTCCTGGGCCCTGCTCCTCGCCTCACTGCTTTTCCTCCTTGAAAGGCACTGGGACGGGGCCCTTCTAGTCACCTTCAGCCAGGCTGGTTTGGGGCAGCTCTCTGGTCTGCTTGACTCCTACAGAGTCTTCAGTGAGCAGGTTTCCACGTCTTAGCCGTGGGCACCCGCTGGAATCAGGCAAATGTGTGCTCGCCTTCCTCTCATGCCCAGAAAGAAGCCCTTCCCACAGACACCCTGGTGTCCAAAATCCCTGAGACCGACACTGGTCTCCAGAGCTACCTGTGGTTATAGCTCCAGAGCCAGCTGAGTGCAGGTGTGTGCAGCATGGTGGGGCCTGTAGGAGAGGCCCCCAAGGCTGATAGTCCTGGTCAGGGAGGCTCCGAGGAGGCAGCCTGGACGCCAGCCTGCTGTTTTCCTAACGTCCGACGTGTATCTATCTCCTTAATTACGTTGGATTCAGGTGGCTACGAAAGTGTTTCTTCAGTCCTTTACCAACTTGGGAAAAAAACTAGATCCCAAAAGTACGCTCCGTGTCAGGGAGAATAACTCAGGTGCTACTAATTATTGAGTTCTTTGTGTGCCAAGCAACCCACATGTGTCCTCACAGCCTCCTGTGGGGTCAATAAGGAAACACACTTGGCGGGTGCGTGACAGGTGCACACACAGTGAGTGCCAGAGCCCGGCTCCCAGCCCAGGGCTGAATGACAGAAGCTGAGCTCCTGGCACGGCTCACACCCGTCCGGCCCCGTCCTGCCCCGTCCCCAGGGCGTGCGGCTCCCTCAGCAGGCTGCCCAGGAGCCACCGGTTAGACAGGCAAGGCAGGCCTGATGAAGTTACAAGTGGGATTTTCTGTAACAAACCCATTCATGGAAACTTTCTTGTAAAATCTTACCACCTCCCCTCTCTCCTTCAGAAAAAGGGCATCGAGAAGAATCTAGGCATTGGCAAAATCTCCCCTTTCGAAGAGAAGATGATCGCCGAGGCCATTCCTGAGCTGAAAGCCTCCATCAAGAAAGGAGAGGAGTTTGTAAAGAACATGAAGTGAGAAGGCGGTTAACGAGCAGGCCGTCTCCGTAACTTATTAAGGCATCGTGCCGCTGTAAAGCCACTTCAGACACCGTGGTCTTCTCAGTTTGCTTTGATGATGAGCGTTGTATTAGCGAACTACCCCTTCCAAATCTCGGGTCAGTCTGTCGGTGCATCAATAAAAGCAGGCTTTGATTTTCTTTTCCAAGGTCTCCAATTAAATACTGTGCTTTCAGAGCCCCATTGGAGCTGACTGCAGAGTGTGTGTCTGACATCTCTTCCATCACGAATTAGAATCAGGTGTTGTTTAAAAAGTAGACTTGGGCTTCCCTGGTGGCGCAGTGGTTGAGAGTCCGCCTGCCGATGCAGGCGTTCGTGCCCCGGTCTGGGAAGATCCCACGTGCCGCGGAGCGGCTGGGCCCGTGAGCCATGGCCACTGAGCCTGCGCGTCCGGAGCCTGTGCTCCGCAATGGGAGAGGCCCGCGTACGGTTAAAAAAAAAAAAAAAAAAGTAGACTGAAACATCATGGTCTCCTCGGTAGCTTCAAGCCGGTAATCTTCATCAGTAACTGCTCTCCCAACCCTGCTCTTTGCACCATCGTGTCCCTCAGGTGTGTGAGCTGAAGGAAGGGCCAGCTTGGGTCTGATTCCTCGGTGTCCTCTCGCCTGTGCGGGTGGCAGCTCAGTGGCCGACGCTGGGCTGCTGTCTTCTGTCGCAGGTTCTTTCTGTGTGGTTTTTCTGGCCAAGCAGACAGCACCACTGGCTGGACTTCGTCCTCTTCTGATCGAGCCCTGATATTCAGTGGCAATGACTAGCCAAAGCCAGAATTGTGAGGAGGGCTGGGCAGGGGCAGAAACAACCAAACCAAAACACCAGCTGCAGCCACAGGGCTGAGGACACAGGGGAGGTGGCTTCGTGTCTTCATCAGTGGCCAGAAGGGACTTTGTTGCATTAGCTGGGCTTAGGATACATGTGGGGAATTAAAGGGAGACCTGATTCCCTTCGGGTACAGTTTGCTCCCCAGAAGCCGTGGCCTCTGAAGTGGAAACTGAGAGCTCAATACCTGAGAACTTTCTGACAACAGGTGATGACCTTCCGGTGAAAGGGCAGGTGGTGCTCGAGCTACGCCCAGTAGACAGAGACCCATTTATCTGCAGCTTTTTTTTTTTTTTTAAACTGCAGTGGATTTTATCAAGTATGACATCATTGTGTTCTTATATAAGTGATAATGTTCATCGTTTAAAAACTAAAATGTAGCCAAATACAGGAAATTATCTCCGATAATAGTATTTGTGCTCCTGATTTTGCATATTTCAAAAGTTGAGATAAAGCTGCTTGTGCCGTTTTGCAACCTGTCCTGGTTAATTACTGTGTAACACACACAATTTAGTTGCTTTTAAGCCAGTATTTTATTACGTCTCACGATTCTGTGGTTGGCAGGGTTCCGCTGGAAGTTTCTGTTCCTCCAGGTGTGGGGGGCTGGCCAGTCAGGCACGTTCAAGGTGATGGCTCCGGCGCATGGCTGCTGTTGAGGGGGTGGTGGGACAGCTGGGCTCCACGAGGCCCTACAGCAGGGCACGCAGATTTCTTACTTGATGGCCTGGGGTTTCCAAAAGTGCAAAAGCAGAAGCTGCCAGGCGTTAAAGCTTAGGCTCAGAACCGGCACAGCATCACGGTTGCCAGATCCTCGTGGCTAAAGCGAGTCACCAGGCAAGCCCAGGTCCACGCTGGGAGGGGCCTCAAGGGTCCTTTGGGAGCCAGCTCTGGAGATTCTCTACCACACGCGCACAATTCTTTTAAGTGTATCCGTGTCTTCCCGTATCGTTTGTTTAATAGCTGGATGACCCTTAGGGTGAATGTACTATAAAACGTATTCCACTGTTGGATCATTAGGTGGTTTAGGTTTTCACTACTATGAAGACCATGGCTCTGAACGGCACGGTGCTGTTGGACTAATGCCTCCTGGAGGTTCTGTACTTGAGGCACTGTGCCAGATCTGGGGTGCATTTGCTGCTTCCTTGTCACAACCCTGACAGGCAGGACCTAGTGCAATGACTCCACAAGTGGTCTTGGTTTAGGGTGGTCATGTCAGTGCTGGTCTCCATACACCAGCGGTTACCGCATAAGGCCCGTCCAAGGGGTTTGCTTAAAATGCAGCCCCCTCCTACACTGTTGGTGGGAATGTAAACTGGTGCAGCCACCGTGGAAAACAGTATGGAGGTTCCTCAGAAAACTAAAAATAGAATTACCATATGATCCAGCAATCCCTCTCCTGGGATATATCCAGACAAAACTATAGTTTCAAAAGATACATGCACCCGTGTGTTCATAGCAGCACTATTCACAATAGCCAAGACGTGGAAACAACCTAAATGTCCATCCACAGAGGAATGGATAAAGAAGATGTGGTACATATATACAATGGAATACTACTTAGCCATAAAAAAGAACAAAATAATGCCATCTGCAGCAGCATGGATGGACCTAGAGATTGTCATACTAAGTGAAGTAAGAGAAGGATAAATACCGTATGATATCACTTATATGTGGAATCTAAAATATGACACAAATGAACCTATCTATGAAACAAACAGAATCACAAACAGAACAGACGGGTGGTTGCCAAGGGGGAGGGGTTGGGGGAGAGATGGAGTGGGAGGTTGAAGTTAGCAGATGTAAGCTTTTATGTATAGAATGGATAAACAACAAGGTCCTACTGTATAGCACAGAACTATATTCAATGTCTTATGATAAACCATAATGGAAAAGAATACTTTTTAAAAAGAATGCATACATATGTATAACTGAATCACCTTGCTGTACAGCAGTAAATAACACAACACTGTAAATCAATTGTACTTCAATTTTTTTTTTAAGTTTTTTAAATGCAGGTTCCTGTGCCCACCCCTCAGAAGTTCTGATCTAGCAGTCTTGAGAGGAAGGACCAAGAATCTATAATATTCCAGATCCCTCCAGATTATGCTGAGGGGGGATGGGGTAGTCAGTGACTGCACTTTGGACACTGGCCGCCCCAGAGCTCTTTTCACTATATAAGCCTCCTGCCTTTCAGGACTTACAGATAAGTCAGGGATGAGAGAATCAGAAAAATGCAGATCAAGTACCACAGGACTCAGAAGAGGACTAGGTTACTTCTGGACAACTTGGCAGAGGCCAGGATCAGAGAAGACTGCTCCATCAAGATAGCCAGGAGGGAAGAGAAGGAGAGGCCATTTGAGCTGGCCCTGCAGGAGGGGTAGGATTCCAGCCGACCAGGAGGGCAGGGTGGTCACGGCAAGCAGGCAGCCGCGACAGAATCAGGCTAGGCTTAGGAGAATGGGCTCCAGAGGGTTTGAGGGACGGCCAGTGTTCACACGATGAGGGGAGTGAGGCCATTTGGGGTGGGGGGTGGGGCTCTTCCATGCACGCTGCAGAGCTCGGACCTCGTCCTGTGGGTGGTGGGAACAGGAAGGGTAAAGGCGCTGAGCAGGCAGGTGACACGATCCTAGGCGGGGGCTTGTTAACATACAGATTGTGGCCCAGGAGCCTGGGGAGGGGTCCAGGTGATGTCCTTGCTGCTGGCCACACTTAAGTAGGAAAGATGTGGCAGCGGGGACTGCTCAGGACGCTTTGACAGCAGAAGGGACAAGGGCCCGAAGCGGGGTGGCAGTGAGTGGGAAGGGAAGGATGACGGAGAAAACACCAGCATCTCCCAGCCCCACCTCTACCGCCCAGAAGTCCATCAGCCCATCGGCAGCGTGGGTTAAACTAGCCACACCCCCACTTTCAAGCTCCAATTATACACCTCCCAGTCTGTGAACTGGCTGTCATCCCTACCTTCCGGTGGCCTCCTGACACACGACTCCTGTCCGCCTCGGCAAGGAACAAAAACCCGGGGACTGAGTGGATGGTGTTAATGACCTTGATGAGCTGGCTGAGCCTTTGCCGGGGGAAGCCAAGAACCAGGGCCAACTCTTCCTGGCAGCCCCTGGAAACCCCTATTGACTAAATCATCCCCCAAGTGTGCAAGCTGTGTCCCCCTGTCCAGGCCGTGAGCACTTTTCCCTCTCTCACATTTGCTGAGCACTCACTACTTCCCAGGCCTCCTAGCAGAGGCAGAATAATGGCCCCCAGAAATGTCCATTTCCTTATCCCTGAAACCTGTGAATATGTTACCTTCCAAGGGACTTTGTAGATATGATGAAGTTAAAGATTTTAAGATGCGGAGATTCTCCTGGATTATCTGTGTGGGCCTAATGTAATCACAATGGTCCTCCTAAGAAGGAGGCAGGAAGAGCGGAATCAAAGTCAGAATCAAAGCAGTGGCTGTGATGACAGAGGTGGTCAGAGCGAGAGAGATCTGAAGATGCTACTGTTTCAAGCCTTGAAGAGGGAGGGAGGGAGGGAGGGCCCACAAGCCAAGGAGTGTAGGCAGCCTCCAGAAAGGCAGGCAAGGAAATATTCTCCCCTAGAGCCTCCAGAAGGAAAGCAGCCCTGCTGACACCTTGATTTTAGAAAGTCTGACCTCCAGAACTGTTAGATAATAAATGTGTGTTGTTTTAAGCCACTAAGCTTGTAGTCATCTGTTACAGCAGCCACGGGAAACTGGTACACCCGCCTAGGCATTTTGCACACATATTCCCTTTTATCCTCATCACAGTCCTCTAAGGTGGCTACATTAGCAAGAGAAGTGATGCCCAGAGAGGTTGAGTAACTTTCCAAGGTCACACAGCAGGTGAAGGGAGCTGGGACTTGAACCTAGGCATTCTGGCTGCAGAGCTTCCCCTGCCCCAGTCAGCAAGGTGCCTGCAGCCTTGGTGAGGGCAGGGCTGTCTGAATGTGGGGCGGTTCTGTGCCATGAAACCAGACCCTTGGATTTCTTGGGTTCTTGGCTCACCATGCTCTGATGTTTTATGTGCTTTGGGAGTTGGGGGGTTGCCCCGTGTGCCCCTCACTGCGAGACAGGATCTTGGGGGCACTCCACAGAGGATGGGGGGAACATTGACCCCAGATCGGGAGCCTGAATGGAGGGGACCAGCCATTCACAAAGGAGCTGGTGTGCCCTCAGGAAGTCACAGACCCTGCCACTGCCCAGCTGCTCTCAAGGCCTGACGGAGAAGCCCCGCCCTGCTCCCACCCTGTGTGTCTGTCTGTGGGTGGGGGAAGGGCTGTCAGCTCATGCAGAGCCTTCTCCCCATTTTAGAGCCATTTCACATTCTCCCAGCTGGCAACCCAGCCCCGTGGGACAGCTCTGGTA